GGAAGGGAGGGGGGGGGGGGGGGGGGGCTGGGGGGGCTGTGCGGGAGAGGACTCATCACGGGATCATGGCCGCAAAAGGTGCACCATCAGTTGCCTCAGTGCAGAGCGCACGCAGGGGCACGGGGTCACGAGCAGTACAAGGCTGTCACGGGGCAAGTGGAGACATGGCAGTACAAGGCTGTCCATGTTCCCTGTGCCCGCCTGCTCATGCTGCTCCCGGTCATTGTGGTCAGGGGCACGGAGTCACGAGCAGAGACAAGCAGGGGCATGGCTGTCCATGTTTTCTGCGCCTGCTCTTCCTGCTCTTCCTGCTCTTCCTGCTCTTCCTGCTCTTCCTGCTCTTCCTGCTCTTCCTGCTCTTCCTGCTCTTCCTGCTCTTCCTGCTCTTTCTGCTCTTCCTGTTCCCGGTCATTGTATGTGTGCGTGCTCCTGGAGGGCTACCCCGTTCCATATCATGCCAGTGGCACGCAGCATGCCAGTGGCGCGCACCATGCCAGTGGCGCATCATGCCAGTGGCGCATCATGCCAGTGGCGCGCATCATGCCACGCAGTGGTAGCTTGCACGCCAGAGCCAAACAGCTGTGTCCCGCCCGGCAGCTCCTCTGATGGTCACCTTTTTCCGCAATGCACACCACCTGCCGCCTCTACTCGCCTCCTCCACGTTAGTGGTTCTGTATTCACCTCTCTTCGCTTTCTCTCCCGCTCTTCGCTCGCTACTCCTCTCTCCACTCTCTCCCCCAGGTGAGAGGGTCAGATGCCTCCAATCTAGCGCACACGGGGGAGGCTCATCGGGACATCCAACAGCCCCAGTTTCTTATTCTCCTCTCTCTTTCCCCTCTCCCACTTCTCACCTCTTCCCGCAGATCAGAGGGTCAGATGCAGCGAATCTTGGGCGCACCAGAGAAGCCCAGAGGGACATCTGGCAGCACCAGTTCCCCCCCGGCAACTGCAGCGGGGAGAGGCTGCTGGTGGTGGACTGGCCGGCCTCCCAGCACGGCATGGGTTCGCAGCTGCACATCCTCAGCGCTGTCTTGAGCCTGGCTATGAGGCACGACAGGGTCCTGGTCCCTACAGCCACTTTTGAGAGGGCGAACCACGCTGAATGCAACGGTGGGTGAAGAGTGCATCAACACATTGACGTTTGAAGAGCGGGGCTGATTTTTTGTTGGCACCTTTGACGCATCTCTACTCCCGTTTTTTCCCCACTTTCTCCCTTCCACCCTCTATCGTTTATCACACTGTATCTTCTGCCATCTGCCCTCTCCCCTCCCCACTCCCCGTTTCCCCCAGCCACCGGCGCCCTCTCCTCCTTCCACTGCTACTTCTTCCCGCTCGTCTCGCCAGCCTGCGAGAAGGCAGCAGCAGAGGCGGCAGCAGCAGGGCAGGTGCCCGCATGTGCACCGCAGGAGGAGGTGGCGAGGGATGCGGTGCTGGCGAGTGACAGCCGCGTGGCATGCTTCCATGGGGAGCCTTATAACGGGCTGGCGCTGGAGGCACTAGTTGTCAAGTGAGAGATACCCTCTAGTACGCACTCACACAGAGCCGTAGCCGTGTGTTGTGTGCTTCCATGGGGAGCTGCTCAACGGGCTGTTGCTGGGGGCGATGGTGGTCAAGTGATGTTAAAGGGTGGTGATAGGTGTTTTGGGCACACATGCACTACACACTCACCACGTGCTAGCCACATGGCGTGCTTCCAGGGGGAGCGTGCAATGGACTGTTGCTGGAGGCGATGGTGGTCAGGTTAGAGATGCGGCTTAGTGCGCACATGCACCCACATGCACCCACACATGCACACACACATGCACACACACATGCACACACACATGCACACACACATGCACACACACATGCACACGTATACACACACATACACACACATGCATGAACATACACACACACATACGCACACACGTACACACACATGCACACACACATGCACACACACATGCACGCACACATACACACACATGCACACACACATACACACGCGCACTCACATGCACATACATGCATACACACGTACACACACATGCACACATACATACTCACACATGCACACAAACGCACACATGCATGCATGGAAACACGCGTCCAGCTATGGATTCATGTGATGCTGCAGTGTGTGCGATCCATCACACTTCATTCTACCACTTCGCCTCTCCTTGCACGCGTGCAGACAGGGGTGGGGGGTGTGGTATGAGCTACCCATAACGCACTTCACTTCCCTCTAACACACGTTGGTCTATCCCCTCCCCTCGCTTGCTTTACAGGCGGTGGTGGGGCGTGTGGTACGAGCGATCAATCACAGTGGAGGTGCAGGGCAAGATGGCAGGCGAGGTGGATGTCATGCCGCATGTGAGATGGCATGGCGTATGTGAGATGGCATGGCGCATGTGAGATGGCATGGCGCATGTGAGATGGCATTGCGCATGCGAGATGGCATGCCGCATGTGAGATGGCATTGCGCATGTGAGATGGCATGCCGCATGTGAGAGGGCATGCTGCATGTGAGAGGGCATGCCGCATGTGAGATGGCATGCCGCATGTGAGATGGCATGCCGCATGTGAGAGGGCATGCTGCATGTGAGAGGGCATGCTGCATGTGAGAGGGCATGCTGCATGTGAGAGGGCATGGCGCATGTGAGTGGGCACGCTGCATGTGAGAGAGCATGCTGCATGTGAGAGGGCATGTTGCATGTGAGATGGCATAGTGCATGTGAGATGGCATGGCGCACGTGAGATGGCATGGCACATGTGAGATGGCGTGGCGCATGTGAGATGGCATGCCGCAAGTGAGATGGCATGCTGCATGTGAGATGGCATGCTGCATGTGAGAGGGTGTGTCGCATGTGAGATGGCATGGCGCGTGTGAGATGGCATGGCGCATGTGAGATGGCATGGTGCATGCGAGTTGGCATGCCACATGTGAGATGGCATGGCGCATCTGAGATGGCATGGCGCATGTGAGATGGCATGCCGCAAGTGAGATGGCATGCCGCAAGTGAGATGGCATGCTGCATGTGAGATGGTATGGCGCATGTGAGATGGCATGGCGCATGTGAGATGGCATGGCACATGTGAGAGGGAATGTCGCATGTGAGATGGCATGGCGCGTGTGAGATGGCATCGCGCATGTGAGATGGCATGGTGCATGTGAGATGGCATGCCGCATGTGAGGTGGCATGCCGCATGTGAGATGGCATGCCGCATGTGAGATGGCATGCCGCATGTGAGAGGGCATGCCGCAAGTGAGATGGCGTGCCGCATGTGAGATGAATTATGTGCAATGGTGCTGGTGATATCAGTTGTGTGCGATCGTGCATGTGTGACACAGATCTATGGGCCATGTGAAATGGGTGCCATGCTACGGTGCACTTGAGATGGTGAGCTGCATGTGAGTTGGCTTTCGGCATGTGCGACTGATGGTAAATGGTTGTGATGAGTTATGACATCGATTTTGCATGTGAGATGGCATGGTGCTTGTGAGATGAGATGATGGATGTGAGATGGAACAACAAGGTAGTGCATCGCTCCTGCGCTCGTATTCAATTGTCTTTCCTCATCTCTCCTGCACCCCTCACTCTCCTCTGTCTTCCCTCTCTTGCAGGTGCACTGGTGGCGGGCTCAGTCCCTTCGCTTCATGCTGCGTTGGCCCTCCCCTTACCTCTGCCACCTCTCCAACCGCCTGCGCCACACCTCCCTCTCGCTCTCCATCGCCACCCGCCTCTCCTCCTCCTCCGCCCTCCACTCGTCCCTCCTGCGCTCGCACCCCCACCTGCTGGACAAGCTGCTCAGGAATGCCCCGCCCTGCCATGCTGCTGCTGCTGGCAGCGTGGGAGGTGATGGGGCAATCAGCAGCAGGAAGAGGCTCGGTGGGGACATGGGCGTTGCAAGTGCTGTGGATAATACGAGTGCAGTTGCCCAAGGCATAACAGACAGAGGAGGCAGCAGTGCTGCAGAAGCGACAGAAGCGTTTAGCATACCCCGTAGCAGCAGCGATGCAAGCAGAGTGTTCCCATCCCAGCAGCACGTGCAGCAGGGGTGCACCCTAGAGGCCACTGCGTGGGCGAGGCAGGGGCTGGGGCTCTGCTCTGCCAGCAACATGGCTTGCAGCAACAGTGGTGACAGCGGCAGCAGCAGCAAAAGCAGCAGCAGCAGTAGTGGCAACGGCAGCAGCAACTCCGAGCTACCAGGTCATCTGGCAGGAGGAGTGGCTGAGGGACAAGAGTCTCGCAGCAAGTGGGGCATGGAGGGAGCATGGGAGGCGTACCTGCCGCGGCCCATAGTGAGTGTGCACGTGCGGCAGGGCGACAAGGGCAGTGAGATGGCGCTGCACTCCCTGCCAGCGCACATGTGGATGGCGTACCGCCTCAGAGGGCTGAACCCAGACCTGCGGCATGTGTGGCTCTCCTCTGAAATGCAGGTGCGGATGGGAGGGGTGGAGGTAGGACGTGGGTGAGGTATGGAATGATAGGGTGTAGTTTTTGGCTCAAAGTACATGACGAGCATGTGTGGCTATCTTGTGAAATGCAGGCATGTCAGGGCTGGAGTGGTGTTGTGGGGGGGTTGAGGGAGGTACAGGGGGATGGAGGGAGGTATTGGGGGATGGAAGGATAGAGGGGATGCAGGTAATACAAGGATGCAGGTGTTTGGGGGATGCAGGTGTTTGGGGGATGCAGGTGTTGTAGATGGATTACAGGTGGGCTGCGGAGGCCTTATTTCCATCAAGTCTGTAGGTTAGTACAACAAAACGAACCTCATAGGCGAGATTGCGTTTAGGAGAGAGTTTAGTGGAGCCCGGTTAGAAAATAAACTCAAGTCAAGTTTATGCAGCCAGCTTGAGAGTAGTTAACAGCAACGAAACTTGGTAAACTAGTTTCGGCTCTTGCGAGCCTTCATCAGTACAGGTCCGTCGAACTGATAACCAAGACAGTCATGCACGGCTAGATATACTCTATGCAACAGCTGAAGCTAACCAAAGGCAGAGGAAATGGGAGGGGTGGAATGCAGGTGTTTGGGGGATGCAGGTGTTTGGGGGATGCAGGTTCTGAGTTGGGGAAGGTTGGGATGATGAGCATGGTTGCAATCATGTGTGGTACCATGGTGGAATCCCTATGCATGAGTTTACGGCCTCTCAGGCATGCAGGGAAATAGAGAAATGCAGTGCTGTGAGTGGGTGAGTGCATCTCTTGCATGTGTGTTCACTTGAATGCACATATTGGCCTGAGGAACCGGTACTGCGCTCAGTCCGTTGTGCATGAGAGGCCGCCGGTCTCCGCCATGCTTGCCCATGCTAGTACCTTGTGTTTCCCGTTCCCATGATTGTTTCAGACGGTGATTGACCAAGCATCCAGATTTCGAGACTGGACATTTCTTCACTCCAACAATGTGCGCACCAACACCACGGCACGCCACTGGGATGTGGAGGAGAGCGCAGAGAGGCATGTGGTGGTGGGCACAAGCTTTGCAGAGCTCATCATTGCATCGCAATGTGACTTTTTCATTGGGGCTTTGGGTTCAAACTGGGTGAGAATGATAAATGAATTGCGCTCCACGAATGGGAGGCTGTTGAATGGATTTATTGCCATGAATCTCAAGGAGTTTTAGCACCATTTACTATCCACCATGAAAGGCTGGTGCACCTTGGTGCACCAAGACTGTTTACTGTCAAATTCTTGTACAGAAGCGTGAGTTCCCTGGATGCCTCCGTTGGCTTATTGCTCTGCATCTGTCCTCTCGGACTTGGGACACAAGGTCGGCGGCTCTACACCAATAGCAACACCGAGTCTTCAGCTACAGCTCCCCTTATTACGGTACAATTGGCATTCAATCGTCCTCCAGAATTTCCCCCTTTCCCACTCGGGTTTTGGCTTCCATGGCATATGTGTCAAACATATTTGAGTATGTTATATTAGGCTAGATAGGTGCATGCTCTTAGAGGGTACAACCATTTGAACAAAACCAACTTGTATGCCTCATTCTAGTCAACTTTTTACTCTGAGATGGTATCATGCGCTAGGCTAGGTCCTCCCCACCCACCCGCGCTTCCGCTCTCGTTCCTAGCCGCCCGTTCCTAGTCGCCCCTTAGCGCCCCACCGGCCCGTTAGCGCCCTCCAGGCCCCATTAGCGCCAACCAACGTTATATCAGGTGTTTGGGTGCAATCGTACCTCGCCGGGCTGAAGACCGAAGTCAAACGACAGGTAGCAGCGTCAAACTACGCGAACTACAGTGACGTCGTTTCAGCAGCGGAGCGCTTCGACATGGTCAACGCCGGGACACGACGGATGCACGTCGGCAGTACGCGACAGGGCGACCGCTCAGCTCACACCACGTTCGCTGACCCGATGGAAATCGACAGGTTCGACGGGCGGCCACGTCCGAAAAACACCAACTACACGTGTGATTTTTGCGGGGTGCCGGGCCATCGAATCTTCGACTGCAACAAAATGAAGGCCGCACGCGCAGAGTATCGGGCACGCAACAGTGGCGGAAATCTTTCGGCCAATCAGACGACAAAAAACGGGAGTCGCCAGAAATTGCGGATCTAGCTGGCGAAAAAGAAAAGATCCGGAAGCGGCCACGGAATTCTGGGAAAATTAACTTCGACGAAGCTGATTCGACGCGAGGAGGAAATGATGGGGAGAAAATCTCCACCCCACGACCAGTCTTCGCCAGGGAAAATCGCCGAGGAAAAATCCGACTCCGCGAAAAAAGACTCTGCCGAGACGGGGAAACTCCTTGAAGACCCAAGAAATTATAAGGATTCGTTAAAGCTATCCTATAAAGATGCTTTAATGAAAACTTATGATTCTCGAGGGGCTAGAGCCTTGGAGAAATTTCGGGAAGAACTCTAGAAGAAGCAGAAAGCTGTGGAGATTATACCGGTACCGGACAACTTGGGGAAAAAAATAAGGAGTGTGGAAAGAAGCCGACCTTTCCACAGAGTCAACGTCCTCTCCCGACACCAGCCCACAACGACTACCCGTTCCCAAGGGAAAGAGTCAGTAGAGCTGAAGCAGCTCAAGAAGAAGCTGGGGGTCTACAAGAAGCTGCAGAAACCCCGAACTCCTCCTTCGGATGCATCCAGTTCTTCGGCATCAACGACACGCACAGTCGTCAAGGAAACTCCGGGCCCTGGAGAAGAGTCGTTCTCCAAGCAGCCTCGGCCAGCTGCCAGCTCAGGAGTAGATATCAACAAAAAGGTGTGTACGGAGTATTGGGATGTACCCTATGACCCAATTAATGAAACTATCTTTGGGTACTCCGAGAAACGCCTGCCCCTCGTGCTCGAGGTCATCTGCAAAGGACGACGCCTCCAAGACTCGTGGACAGCGGAGCATCACACACCGTCTGCGACAAGGCAGTAATCGACCGACTTCGGGAAGAGTACAAGCCTTCAGGATTCTCTGCAACGATGGTGGATGGTAGCAAGTTACCAGTACACGGCGAAGCAGTGCTACAGCTACAAATCGGACCACTGCGCTGGAGACCTGCACTCCCCATCACCAACATCAAAGGGCTTGACTTGATCTTCGGGCGAGACTTCCTAAAAAGATTCAACCCCGAGATCAACTGGGTGAATCGCACCGCAAGCATCTACAACAATGGACGGAGAGTATAGCTACCCAACTGGGACGATACAGGAGATATCCCAGTGGAGACACTCGCACGCTTCGAGAAGGACGTGAAGCGAACCGACACCGGGTTCCTGGCGATAGCAACAGAGGTGGAAATCGACAAGGAAATGACCTCGGAGCTTCCAGGAAAAATCAAGGAATTGTTGACGGAGTTTCAAGACATTCTTCTTGACGATCTTCTGAACGAGCTACCGCCATACCGCACACATCAACACGAGATCGTGGAGGAACCGGGTTCGAAGCCGACCTTCCGAGCACCATATCGGCTCAGCCCTACGGAGCTGACCGACATGAAAAAACAGATCGAGTATCTCCTAGCCAAAGGACTCATCCGACCATCTACTTCGCCATACGGTGCCCCAGTGCTCTTCACACCGAAACCGGACAGAAGCCTGCGCATGTGCATCGATTACTGGGCTCTTAACAAGCAGACTATCAAAAATAAATATCCGATACCGCGAATCGATGACCTGCTTGACCAGCTTCGGGGAGCTACGGTATTTTCCAAATTGGATCTGCGGTCCGGATACTGGCAAATACGGATGGCGAACATCTCTATCCATAAAACTGCTATCCAAACTCGGTATGGATCGTACGAGTATCTGGTAATGCCGTTCGGACTCACCAACGCACCGGCAATATTCCAAGCCGAAATGAACCACATTCTACGACCACTTTTGGACGAGTGCGTGGTGGTGTACCTGGACGACATCCTCATCTACTCGCGCAAAATGAAGCAGCACGTCGAACACCTGCGACGCGTCTTCGAAATTCTCCGACGAGAACGATTCTACGTCAAATTGTCCAAGAGCGAATTCTCCCTCGAGAAAGTCCAATTCCTAGGACACATGGTGAGCGCTCAAGGAGTTCACGTCGATCCCCAAGAAGATCGAAGCCGTACGTGCGTGGAAGACACCCGAGAACGTGAAGGAGTTGCAGCAGTTCCTAGGCTTCGCTAATTACTACAACAGGTTCGTACCACAGTATGCAAAAATCGCAGCACCACTGACGAATCTGCTGAAGAAGAACACGCCCTATAAATGGGAGCTGAAGCATCAGGAAGCCATGGAGCAGCTGGAACAAGCACTCACGTCTGTACCAGTACTCATCCTGCCAGATCCCGAACGCGACTACGTCATCGAAGCTGATGCCAGCGACCAGGCAGTGGGAGCAGTCTTGATGCAAGACCAGGGGAATGGACTGCAACCAATCACCTACCTCAGCAAGAAACTACACGGGGCAGAACTAAACTACCCGATACACGGCAAAGAGGCCCTTGCTATTGTCATCGCCTTCAAAGCGTGGAGATGTTATCTCGAAGGACGAAGAACAACCGTCTACAGCGACCACTGCAGCCTTAAATATTTGAAGACACAACCGAATCTCTCTAGGCGACAGGTCCGGTGGATCGACTTCCTCGAGACACACTTCCACTACGACATCGTGTACAAGCCCGGCCACAAAAACAAAGCGGACACCCTTAGCCGGCCTGCACACATTGCCGCTATCCAAGTTGATGGGATGAATCCACTACTCAAGTGACTCTTCACCCACGGTTACTACATCGACCCCGAAATTCCCTTGGCAGAAAAGCAATGCCTACTACAGTGGGACAGTGACATCGCGTACCGGAAAGGATAAACGAAAATCTGGATACCAAATTACCCTCCTTTGCGCCAGTTACTACTCGAAGAATACCGCGACGTTCTATAGGCTGGACACTTCGGTAGCAACAAGACGCTGACCGGTATCGTGAAGCACTACTACTGGCCCCACTTGGCGGAAGATGTTCAGAAATTCGTCACCTCGTGTGATACATGTCAACGGATGAAGAGTAGCAAGCAGAAGAGGGCGGGACTGCTACAGCCTCTTCCTGTCCCAGAACAACCATGGCAAGTGGTTAGCCTGGATTTCATCACCGGGTTACCACCTACCACCTGTGGACATGACGCAATACTTGTCTTCATCCACAAATTCTCCAAAATGGGACACTTCATCCCGACACACACGACAGCACGCACCGAAGAGATGGCACAACTCTTTGTTCGGTACATCATCTCACAGCATGGCATTCCAACCACACTCATCTCCGACCGAGACCCCAAGTTCACCAGCAAGTTCTGGAAGGAACTCATGTCTCTGCTCGGGACCAAACTCGCCATGTCATCCGCCTATCATCCGCAGACAGACCGACAGACCGAGCGCCTCAACCTGATTGTTGAGCAACTCCTCCGAGCAGCCTGCAAGGACGAGATCTCCAAATGGGACTTGCACCTGCCCGTCCTAGATTTTGCTTACAATAATGCTACACATGCCGCTACTGGACAGACACCGTTCTTCCTCTACTACGGACGCCACCCACTCACACCACAGAAACCGACCACATCAGCAACAGTACAACCTGCACACGACTTCATCACAACCATGCATCAGCTTTGGGATCGGACCCACAAGCGCCTCCTTGACATCCAGCAGCAATAGAAGCGCCAGGCCGATCGCCACCGCAACGACCACACCATCACCGTGGGCGACCAGGTGCTCCTTGACACCCGCAACCTTGACATCAGCCATCTCCCATCTAAACTTCGACCTCGCTTCTGCGGGCCTTTCCTCGTTGAAGCACAGGTCACTCCTGTTACCTTCCGCTTACGCCTGCCAGCTACCTGGAAGATCCACAACGCCTTCCATGTCCAACTGCTGAAGCCCTATTGGGATCCGAACACCATCTTTGTCGGACACCAACCGCCGCCGCCGCCACCCGTCCTCGTCCAGAATGAACCCGAGTACGAGGTCCAGTCCGTGCTTGCACACCGCCGTCGTCGGAATGGTTCCATCGAGCTTCTTATTCGTTGGAAGGGTTATGATCCTTCCGAGGACAGCTGGGTACCTGAGACCGACATGGGTAACGCCCGTCGTCCTCTGCATGACTACCTTGTCAAGCAGGGTGTTACTTCTGCCACTTTGCTTTGAGGGGGGGAAGTGTGAGAGTACGACCCCGTTACACCACTTGTTCCTTCTTCTCTTTCCTTTCTATTTCATCTCTCTTTATCCCATCTCATTTGGTTTCCTATTCTCCATTTTCCATTATCCTTTGGTTTATTCTGTTATTCTAATTATATCACCGACCAGGCTCGGGATGTACTGGCGCGCTCTATGTAGAAAAAAAAAAGCGCCGAATAAACAGGCCCAACTACAGAAAACACGCTTTTCAAATACCACATGCCATTATTTGTCACAGGTCGTGATTACAGTCTTCGTCGGTCACAGTCAAGTTGGCCTGAGTGATAGGGGGGGTGGATGGGGAAATCACGGAAATCATGGGTGGGGGGGTTGTGGCTCAAAATCCGCTATAAGTGCGTGGTACTTCGGCAAAATCTGAGTTGCGCAACTTGGCCGAGTTGCGCAATTCGCGAAAGTAACGGGTTCCGTGAATAATCGTCAAACAGGTTGGCGAACAGACTGAGAGAGATGTGCAACGCGGGTTGCGCAACTCTCAAAATTTGCTGGCTTCGCGCCGGCCGGTACGCCCGAAAGCAGTAACTCACAATGCGAAAACTGATTTCGTTCGAGAAATACGGTATGGTTACGGATGTTGGTGTTCCATTTCAAGCAATTCGTATTCTTCGAGTGCAACTCGATGTTCCAAATGAGTTGCGATTCCCGCCCGAAAAGCGCAATCCGAGGTTCCAACGTCACTGCCGAGGGGTGCGGGCTGCGCTCACCGGGACGGATTTCGCAAATTACGCTTCCCGAGTTACGCAACTTAGGCATGTTTAGCCGAAGTACCCTGCCCTTACACGTATCAGGGTTGGTCCCGAATGCGACGCTGGAAAAACAGGCCTCACTACACTAGGCACGCTGATCGATCAGGGTTCACTTCTAAAAAAACGCTGAAATTTCAGGCCCGTGTTAAAAAAAAACCCTGTCTCATCAGGGTCACCCCTAAAAAACACCCTGATTTTACCTTGAATCAGGGTAAAACGCCTGTAATCTGAGGCCCTGGTGGAGTGTTCCGTCACCGTCACCGTATTTCTAGAATCCCTACTGTGCTTCTAGATGGTGTTTCTATCGACAAACTCATGTCTAGAACTCTCTTAGAAATTCCTAGTTACCATTCCCTAGAGGCCTCATATGTATAAATAGGATTGTTTATTTATTTGCATTCGTTCAATTCTTGATTAGTAATTCATTCAAGCTCTCGCTAAATCCTGGACCTGCGACACTGCCCATTTGTAATAGCTTGTCTCATTTCAGTTTGTCACACGATGTGGTTTTCTATTGTCCTCATTTTTTCATTTAAAGTACTCCTCGGCTATGTTGTCGTATAGGCGTTAATAGTTTTATACACTATATGCTAGTGTATAAACAACATTTATGTGCTAAACACTAGGACTTGGGGCTGTATACGCTAGGTATACGCTCGTTCGGGCAGGCTAAAATTTTAGCCCGAGCAGGAGGGAAAAACCGGGGGGGGGGGGGGGGGGGGGGGGTCGTGAAAAATGATAGAGGCTTAGCACGTGAAAGCCCAATGTCAAGGACATTTTGAATGGAACCCAATCCGTCTGCTCAACACCCTCCATCTTCTAGGATTGCAGATCTGACGCGAACGAGACTGTCAGCAAGGAGGGTGTTAGAGGAAAGGTTGGAAGAAGTAGATGCAAAAGAGTGCAGTGCGTTTGAGGGGAGGTGGGGGGGGAGGGTTGGAAGTGCGTTTTGGTCGACATGTTGCGTATAACGACTTGGTGAAATATCTGGTTGAATTTGTCATGTTGCAATTACGCTGAAAAAAAAACCACGATGATTTCAATTGGCTGCCCAAAAACTTCTCTTAGAAGCGTATATGGTATAACATATAAATGCAACGTATATACGCGATATGCTAGCCTGCCAAAGAGTATATGGCAACATAGCCCTTCTGTGCACCTGGTGGCGTGGTCCCTCCCCTTCCCACTTGCAGGAACGCCACTGAGTTTGTGGGAAGAAAGGCATACGCATGGTCTGATGCATGCCCAGTAGCTGCTGTCACTGGTGCCAATACTGGTGCTGTTGATGGTGCTGATGCTGTCTCTTTCCTCCCCCTTGCAGGAACACCACAGAAATTTTGAGGTGGAAGGTGTATGCATGGGCTAATTATCAACGTATACATATATTGACATGTAGAAGTTATAGGCTAGATAGGTGTATGTTCTTAGAGGGTACAACCCCAACACTATATCTCCCTTATTCTCCCTTATACTCATCATTCATTCTAGTTAACATGGTATCATGAGTAGGTAGGTCCACCCACCCGCTTCCGCCCCGCCCCCTAGCCTACCACGCCCTAGCCTACTGTGCCTCACTATCCCCTCGCGCCCTAGCCAGCCCCTCGCGCCCTAGCCGGCCCCGCGTGCCCCTACCGGCCCCACGCGCCCTAGCCGGCCCCATGCCCCCCTACCGGCCCCTCGCGCCCCTACCGGCACCGCGCGTCCCTACCGGCCCCTCGCGCCCCTACCGGCCCCTACCGGCCCCGCCCGCCCCTACCGGTCCCTCGCGCCCATACCGGCCCCTCGCGCCCCTACCGGCCCCACGCGCCCCTACCGGCCTCTCGTGCCTCTACCGGCCCCGCGCGCCCCTACCGGCCCCTCGCGCCCCTACCGGCCCCGCGCGGCCCTACTGGCCCCTCGCGACCCTACCGGCCCCGCGCGCCCCTACCGGCCCGTCGCGCCCCTACCGGCCCCACGCGCCCCTACCGGCCCCTCGCGCCCCTACAGACCCCTCGCGCCCTAGCCGGCCCCTCGCGCCCCTGCCGGCCCCTCGCGCCCCTGCCGGCCCCTCGCGCCCCTGCCGGCCCCTCGCGCCCTAGCCGGCCCCTCGCGTCCTAGCCGGCCCCTCGCGCCCTAGCGGGCCCCACGAGCCCTTGTCGGCCTCTTGCGCCCGAGCTGGCCCCTCGCGCCCATGCTGGCCCCTCATCGCTCCCACCGGCCCTGCACGCCTCTGGCCCTCCTCGGCCCCCTGCCCTGTTTCCCTCGCTAGAGCACCCTTCCGCCGAGCCGCTGAGCAGCCGTGTCGCTGTGCCGCTGTGCAGCTGAGCCGCCGAGCCGCCGTGACCCTGAGCCGTCGTGCCACCGAGCCGCCGAGCCGCTGAGCCGCAGAGCCACCGTGTCGCTGTGCCGCTGCACCGCCGAGCCACTGTGCCGCTTTCCCACAATGCGATGGCGGACGCCGTCCTTCGCTTGGACGCTAAGGGGCACGCGATCGACTTCGCCGCCTGGCTCGTCGACCTCCGCCGGCACCTGACAGGTCAGCGCCAGGATGGGCACTCCCTGGCTATGCATGTTGATGGCTTGCTCCCCCGCCCCCCTACGCCTACTCCCCTCCCTGCTGACCCTACCACTGCTGAGAGCGAGGCCTTTGCTGCTACTGCGCTCGCTCGCGTAGTCTGGGATTCTCGCGATGCTGTAGCGCAGCTTGCCATTAGCCATGCCCTTCCCCTGTCTGAGCGTCCGCGCTTCACCGCTGTCGCGAACGCCAAGGACTTTCTGCGCTACCCTGTACCTCATTGCCATGTGTCTGCCTGACCGCTTAGCCACTGCTCGCGACCACTTCCTTAGTCAGCACCCTGCCGACCTCACCCTGAACACCTTTGTCACTGCTCTGTTTGAGATAGAGACTTGCCAGCGCACTATCGCTCAGTCGAGCGGTGTTGCAGCAGTCCCTATCTTTCGGGGCTGTGCTCCCTCCCAGTGCACGTACGCTGACGTTTCAGCCGCAGTTGCCACGACTGCCCTTGCTCTTGAGACAGCAGCTGCGGCTTACCTGCAGCAGCGCCAGCGCCGGGGCCGTCGTGGCCCCAAGGGAGGACGTGGTGGTGCCGTTGGTGATGGTGGTGGCGGGGACAGTGGTTCTGACGAGGGGATTGGAGCTGGTGTCCAGGAGCAGCAGCAGTCACCTCACTCACAGCCGCAGCAGCAGCAGCAGCAGCAGCCGCAGCAGCCGTGGGCTCGCCGCCTGCCGGGGTGGCCAGGAGCCCCAGGAGGTGGTGGTTGAGGTGGTGGCCCTCGCAGCTCAGCGTCCACCGCGGCTTCAGTGCTGTGAGCTGTCAGTACTAGTTCCAGACCGGGCCCCTCCGTGGCACGGTATGCCGCCACCCGCACCCGACCGCCTGCTGCTTCCGCCGCCTCGACGACCTCTTCTGTCGGTCCAGCCTCGGACCTACCTAACTGGACTAGTTTGCTGCGCCACGGTGTGCCTGTGTTTGACTTAGACATGGATCAGAATAGTTCTGCCCTGCATTCTCTGTATGCTGACGCTTCGACTGTTTCCGGATCTTATTACTCTGTGTTCTCTAGCGTAGGCGTAGCACCTATGTGTAGTCCAGATTCCCCTGCTGCGTCAGACGTAGGACAGCTTGCTTTGTCTAGCCTAGGCTCTACCCTTGCTCCTCCGTAGTCAGCCACTACAGCTTCGCTGTCCTTCACTCTTGACTCCGATGCGTCTGCCTGCTACTTCCGCGACCATGCCACTCTCACGCTGCTTGCTGCACCCCTCCTCTGGTCCTGTAGTTGCTCGGAGCTACACTACCCTTCCCTGTCCGGCGGTTCTCTCGAATTCCCTTACAGGCCTTCACATCCCTTTGTTTTCCAGGAACTTAGTTGGTGTCGGCTGTCTTCAGGACCTCGGCGTCACCACTACGTTCCCTGGTCACGAGAGGTACGCGGTCTGTACCGACACCGCCTCAGGTGCCCCCCTTGCGACGTTCCCCCGGGACCCCGTGTCTGGTCTGTTTACGCTAGACACTGCTCCCCCATCATCAGGCGCGTCCTCCTCCGTTCTTGCATCCACCCAGGTTGCTGCGGCTTGCTCATGTCGGTCGCTCACTCACCCGTTGCTTCTGTGGCACCACCGCCTAGGTCACCCCGCAGTCCCGCGTCTACGTCACATGTCTCAGCATGGTCTCGTCCTAGGCCTCTCTGCGTCGCTCCTTGCTCTCCCTCCCTCGCCAGCGTCGCCATGCACGCCCTGCGTCGAGGGCCGGCTACGCCGTGCTCCTCACTCCTCCTCGCTTCGCCCTTCAAATGCACCCCTTTAGACACTGCACTTGGACGTCTGGGGCCTAGCCCCCGTCCCTGGACTGCGTCGCGAGCGCTACTTTCTAGTACTCGTTGACGACTTCACGCGCTACACCACGGTGTTTCCCCTGGAGAGGAAGGCCAACGCGTCTGCGTTCCATGTCTGGGGCTGCCTCGCTCACATTCGTGCCTCTGGCACGGACAAGCTTACTGCCCGCACTGTCCCCTGTGTCTTCCTCGGTTTCCCCCTTGACTCGTCTGACTGGCACTTTGACCACCCGCCGTCTCACCGCTTCTTTCACTCTTGTGACGCCAATTTCAACGAGTCTGTCTCCTTTTACCACCGCTATCCCCACCGTGGTCTCCCGGTTTCCCCTCCCCTGTTTCTGGTTCCCCCTCCCCCGGTCGCCCCTGCTCACCTCCCTCCCCGTCCTGCTCCGTCTGGTATGTCTCACGTCACTCCCCTCCCATCGCTTTTCCCGAACGAGGAGTCGGTTGAGTCTAGTGGCCTCGCGGCGCAGTTTGCGCCGCCTGTCCTTCCCCCAGTGTCTCCTCCTCCCCCGTCGAAGTCGCCGCCGCCGCTGCAGCCGCTGCCACAACAGAAGCCGCCTACGCCACAGCCGCAGCAGCCGCCGCCGTCGCCGCAGCCACAGCCGTTCGTGGACTCTTGGGGTGCTTGCGTTGAGGAAGGTGCTAGTCCTGGGGTTCCTGTCGTGGCTTGTCTCGGCGGGCTCGGGGGTGGCACCGGCACTGGAGAGGGTTCTCGTTCTGGGGGTGCTGGCATGGAGTGTTCCGGAGGTGGCCGTGGTGCAGCTGGTGGACCAGCTGTCGGCGTTGAGCAGCAGCAGCCGCAGTCGCCGCAAGTGTCCGCCCTTCGCTTGCTCGGCCTTCCCTCCCCTGACTACTCGCCCGCGCCTCCCCCGCCGCCTCCTCCCCTTCCTATCCACGGTCCTGTGTTTCCTCCGTCGGACTCGTCCCCGGCCCATTTCCCACCTCGTTCCCCTCTTGTTCCTCCTCCTTTGTCTCCTGACCCGACGCCTCCGTCTCACGTCTGGTCTCGCCGTCCCTCTCGTGCTCGTCCTGTCTCTCTTGTTCAGCGTTTGCACCCCATGTTGCTTCGTTCCCACGCGTCTCGTCCTCCCCTCCTGCCTTCACCTCCTTTGTCCTCGCTCGGTGTCGCGCCTCCCCCTCTGTCCAACTACCTTCGTGCTACTCGTCCTCTTGTTCCTCGGGTCCTTGCCTCCCTTGTTACCGACCCGTCTGTCCCTCTCTCGAGTCTTGACGCTCTTGTCGCTGCGGTTGCTGACTTCGCCTCTACTCGCCGACTTGATTACGCCTCTGCTCTAGTCTCTAACCCTGCCCGTCCTCCGTCCGTCGGGGGTGCTCCTACCCTTGGCAGTGACGTCCTAGAGGACAGACAGTACGAGCTTGCTTTCCTGTCGGAAGCGGCTCCCCATCTCTGTTCCATGCTGCTAGTTCCTGAGGGTGACCAGGACACTTTTGACATCCCGACCCCTCACACCTATGCTAAGGCGACCTCGGGAACCTGGGCCTCTTAGTGGATAGCTACCATGGAGCAGGAGATGGCACCTACGTTGACGATGTTCCCCCACCCGGGGAGAACGTAGTCGATGGCCGATGGCTCTTCAAGGTGAAGCGCCCCCCTGAAGAGCCGCCTGTGTTCAAGGCGCACTACGTCGCTAGAGGCTTTCGTCAGCGACAAGGTGTGGACTTCCTTCAGACCTTCGCCCCGAACCCAAAGATGACTACTCTTCGGACACGGCTACACGTAGCAGCACAGCGTGACTACGAGCTCCACTCCCTCGACTTCTCCACTGCTTTTCTTCAGGGCAGCCTATACGAGCAGGTCTACCTACGCCGTCCTCAGAGCTTCACTGGTACCTTCCTTCCTGGGACCCAGTGGCTCCTCCGGCGCCCGGTCTACGGCCT